TAACATCTATGAAGCTGACATACCACTGGATACAACAATCCTCATCTATAAGCGACAATATCCAATACCTTTCAGCATGCAACCATTATTAGCTGAATATGTACAAGAACTATTGGATCAAGAAATTATTTGTCCCTCCAAAAGTTCATACAATAGTCCAACTCTTATGGTAAAAAAGAAGGACGGCGGATGGAGGATGGTCGTCGATTTTTGACACCTCAACGACCATGTGATAATGGATCCCCATCCACTACCAAGGATCAATCAAATATTTGAGGAATTGGGAACTGCCCAATATTTTACAGCATCGGACTTATTACATGGATTTTATAACCTGAAAATTCGGGAGGAAGAACGTTGGAAAACTGGCTTTTCCACACCCCTAGGACATTATGAGTTCATCAGACTTCCAATGGGCCTCAAAAATAGCCCATCAATATTCCAAAGACTCATGAATCTTGTCCTGGATGGATGCTTGGGAATGTACGCGTATATCTACATTGATGGCAATGTAGTTTATTCAAGAAATGCTGACTTACATCTTTCAAACCTGAAGGATATTTTTCAATGAATGGAAAAAGCTGGATTGAAAGTTAAATTCAGCAAGTGTTAACTTTTTCGCACTCAGATCAAATATCTTGGCTTCCTCATCAGCCAAGATGGAATAAAAGTCAATCCTGAAAAAGTCCAAGCAATCAGACATTTTCCAGTACCAAAGGAAGTCAAGGGGATCCAAGCCTTCCTTGGGCTTGTAGGATATTTTCGATCATATATCAAGGGTTTTGCAATACGTGCAAGACCCCTGTATGACCTCTTGAAAAAGGATATGCCTTTCAAGTGGAACAAAGAACAACAAGCATCTATGAATGACCCACAGAAGTGCATGTTATCCCCACCAATCCTGTCATTCCCAGATTTTTCACAAGAATTCATCTTGACGACGGATGCTTCAGCACTGGCCATCGGGGCTGTGCTTACACAAAAAATTGGAAAAAAAGGAGTCCTCATTGGGTGTGCATCTAGAACACTCAACCCAGCTGAGAAAAATTATTCAAACACTGACCGAGAAATATTAGCAGTGTTTTATGGCGTGACACAATTTCAGTCCTATCTCTGGGGATATCCATTCACCATCAAGACGGATCACAGCGCAATACCATATTTAAGCCGTCAACGTCAAAACGACAGTCGCAGGGCAATCACATGGTTTACAACACTCAACAAGTATTCCTACAAGGTGGAATACAAAAAGGGATTACAGATCACCTCTTCCAATTATCATTGGCGGATTGTAATTTGTCGGACAACAACCTGAAAACATTCTTACTCCAAAAAATCCAAGGACCCGCAAAAAACAATCTAATGGGAATTTCTGGAATTTTGGGGAAGGATTATCGCCATATCATACAAGCGCTGCAAAACCAATACCAAAAAGCAGCCCTTAGTACTGGATCACAAGAATTAAAACGGATTGCACAAGGAGCAAACAAACAAGTACAAGATTATGCTTCGCGCATTAGAAGAATTGGAAATCAAATGCTGGGAGAATTACCCAGTGAACTCAAAATGTTTGAAAAGGATGGAGAAGAGGCTCTGTTGGTATTTGAACTTTTTCTAGGTTCAACGGGAGTGGATGGTCTCCTGGTTCTTCCAGCAGGGGATCTTCCTCTCTATAGCGATCCTTCCCGTAGGTCGCTCGTCTGTCACCTAGCCAAAGCCAACAGGTACAAAAGATGGAATGGAAAATTAAACAAGGACCCGCAAAAAACCATCTAATGGGAATTTCTGGCATTTTGGGGAAGAATTATTGCCATATCATACAAGCGCTGCAAAACCGATACCAGAAGGCAGCTCTTAGTACTGGATCGCAAGAATTAAAACGGATTGAGCAAGGAGCAAATGTACAAGTACAAGACTATGCCTCGCGCATTAGAAGAATTGGAAATCAAATGCTGGGAGAATTACCCAGTGAACTCAAAGTATTCAAAAAGGATGGAGAAGAACCAATAATTACCACCAATCCATTTTTTTGTGAAGAAATGATAGAAATGCAAGGAGTGTAAAAATGCTAGACAAGCAAATGCTGGAGGCATTTAAGCGTGGACTCCAAAAATCCATCCATGCCCAATTTCCATTATATCCATCAACATTGGAACACGCAATCGAAGTAGCCACAAATGTGGAAGAATTGATCTTCAACTCCAGAGGATCCGACAAATATGACATGCATCATTTACGAAAAGAAATACAGAGAATTAATTTCTCCTCAAGCAATAGAGATACCCAAGAAAAGGAAACCAGAACCTGCTATACGTGTGGAAAAATTGGTCATCTACAAAAAGATTGTTATCAAAATACTAGAAGAAATGATCAACCCAACAGAAGACAAGTGGGATTTAATGACAGGCCGAAAACCTACGGGAAGGATTGCCAGAGAGGAAGATCCCCTGCTGGAAGAACCAGGAGACCATCTACTCCCGTTCAACCTAGAAGAAGTTCAAATACCAACAGAACCTCTTCTAGAAGCCCTCATAGAAGATTCCAAAGCAAGAGTCCCAATGGGCAAAATAACTACAAAAAATCAAATGAGGATCGCCCTCAAGGACAATACATGCCTTACGGATTCTCCAATGAGAAAAAAGTCAATCACATTGCTGAGAGAAACGTCGTAACTGATGATGAAGAAGAAGAAGAAGAAGAAATTGTGTTTGCAGGAGAAGAAGTGTCAGACTCGGGAAACGAGTACTGACCGGAATTTCTAATCAATTGCCCCAGAAATTACCGGTCATCTTCCTGAATACTTCAGAGGAACGAATTTCATCAGTTCTGTTTTCCGAGACATGGCAAAATTTTTGGGTGCAAAAACCCACACAACCACCGCCTATCGCCCACAAGGAAATGGACAGAACAAAAGGGCTCACCGAGAACTACATGAGTATCTCGCCATTTATCTGGATCCTGAAAACCGAGCCTCTTGGGATGAACTCCTCAAATTTGCTGCCTGGGTACATAACTCAGCCAAACATGAAGCACTCCAGATGTCACCTTTCGAGCTTGTGACTGGAACAAAACCTCGCTTAAATTGGATCCCTCAATTTTTGGAACAAGGGCAAGATCAACGACAACATCTTACCAACCTACAAAATCTCAGGAAGAAAGCACAGTATGCTATCAGGAAGGCACAAGCAGCCTACCTGAAACGTCTCAACAAAACTCGACCAGGAAAACTATATGAAGTTGGAGACAAAGTGCTAATCAGGAGACATGAACAAGCCTCATATGTGGGACGAAAATGGTCACCCAAATACAAGGGCCCATATACAGTGATACAAATCATCAACCCTGTCGTCCTACGAGTCCAAGATGACGCCAACCCAACCTGGACTGACGTCATTCACACCAGTTATGTACGCCCATTCATCCAGCGTACCCCACAAATGGACCATCCCGATTTTGAGATCCTCCCTGACAGGAAAACTATATGAAGTTGGAGACAAAGTCCTCATCAGGAGACATGAACAAGCCTCATACGTGGGACAAAAATGGTCACCCAAATACAAGGGGCCATATACAGTGATACAAATCATCAATCCTGTCGTCCTACGAGTCCAAGATGACACCAACCCAACCTGGACTGACGTCATTCACACCAGTTATGTACGCCCATTCATCCAGCGTACCCCACAAATGGACCATCCCGACTTTGAGATCCTCCCTGTGGAACAACATTTGGATCCCCAACCTGCTGTGGACCCTCCACAGCCGCCACAACAACCCACTCCTGCAATCAAGGAGGACCCTGATTTTTCTTTTGGCGCCGGTGATCCTACAGTCCACTCTACAACTTCTCCTGACGACATTTTTAATTCTGCTGACAACACTTTCTATGCTGACGCTGAATATGCTGATTAAATCAAGGAGGACCCTGATTTTTCTTTTGGCGCCGGTGATGATCCTCCAGTCCACTCTCCAACCTCTCCTGACGATATTTTCAATTCTGCTGACAACACTTTCTATGCTGACGCTGATGCTGAATATGCTGATTTCACTGACCCTGTGAACTCTCCTACGGATCCTGCTACTGTCATCCATCAGCACCCCTCATCAACTCCAAAATCAGGATTTTTGAAAACCCTAAAAGATGTGGCCCAAGGCGTCACCCAAGAGTTTGGACGGTTATTCAATCCTTCTCAAGGACAATACAACCTCCCTGACCTAACTGACGCACCCGCCTCATCTGGACCAGTGTTGCAGTCCCCTCAAACGCCTCATGACAACGATCAACGTTCCAGACCGCTTACAAGAAATGCAGAACATCGACGACGCAGTCATGCACCTGAACAAGCTCCGCAACAGTATCCTGAACAGCAAAATCTGGCCCGCAGTGCTCCTCAACAATGACAGCAAAGCAGTCAAAATGAAGTCGAATTTTCTACCCCTATTTGGAGAAAATTACCAGCCCTGACAAGATTGGAGCGCGACCCCGCAGCTGTGGATCCATCAAGGATCCTCCCACAAAGAACAAGAAGCCAAGCCCGAACAGCAGCAGCCAGAGATGCAGCACCCGTATCTGCCCGCACAAGGAGCCAACAAAGAAACGCTCCAAATGACGAATTAGAGTGATTTGCTACCAGCATGTTTAAATCACTCCATCTCAACCAGCAGAACCAGCCAGTTCACAGCCAAACTTTGCAGAGTGCACAGCTAAAAATGTTTTTTATCCTTTTCCTGTGCCTCATCACCCCTCAATTTCATTTTGCTTTAGAAATCTCTGAAGTGAATTCTTCAGACAAAGGAACAGTAACCAATAGCGCAAGAACTAACAAGCATTCCCCTATACAAAATTTCCCAGGGAATGTGGGAATCACACTAGAAGATCTTTTTCCTATCTGTGTTCCAACAAAATTTTGGACCATAGATACAAAAATAGATATTGGGACCCTGTACAAAAAAGCAAAGAGAATCTCAGACCTAACTCAAACTCTGATACAGAATCCATTTCAAGCAGCCGACAATGCGACGATGACTACAGTCCATTCCTTCAAAATTCTTCCTACTGCAAAAAATCATTTATCCAAAACTATTGAATATCTTGCTAGACAGAACAAAAAAGAGAAATCCCTCTCCAAGAAACCTGCCTAACTGAATTTGGTTCCAGTGGATACTCAAATATCCAAAAGGACAATGGCAGACATTTCTTTTTATAACCAAGCTGACAATAGTTGCATTTCCACCCTGGAGAAAATCCTGAAGAAAATCCAAATCCCCTTTCTAGAAACTACCGAGAACTGGATAGACTTACTCAGTCTCAGTACGGAGATATCCAACCTGGCTTTGACTTTCCAGAGCCTTCTAGAAGATCTACAAGCAATTTCCGTTTCCAATATCCTACTAGAATATTTTCTGACTCAGAAATCTCCAGTGCTTTGAAAACCATACTATCGGCTGTGGACATCTCATCCTCCTCTCTGGTAAGCAAACAAGAATTGTTTTCCTTACTTCAAGCAAACCCATTAACATTTGGTCATCAATACCAATGTGACACAGGATTGACCAGCAACAATTCTTGTTTTTACCAAATTTCTCTTATAGTTCCAATTCTGAGACAAAAGGACCAATATATGTTTTTTAAGGTCCATTCTCTACCTATCGCAAGAGATACCTACTTAGGATCTCCCAAATGGGAAAAAGCAGTATTGAAATATCCATATTTATTATCCCAAGGCAAGAATTACTTTGGGATAAAAGAAGAAGAATTTCCCATTTGCCTTACCCCTTTTAATTTCATCAACTGTCGAATTTGTTGATTTAACTATCCTTTGACTCAAAACACAGATCCCTGTGTGCAGACAATTCAACAAGGAGAACATGAGGAAGAAATCAAAAGACAATGTCCATTGGTACCTACCCAAAATCCTGAGAATTTAGTGGTTCAACTAGATACTGATGAGTTTGCCTTCATCCATTCAGACAAAGGGAGAATTACTCAATATTGTGCAGCCTCTGAATTTAACAAAACATGTGCAACTGAAAATACATACAAATTACCTTACTCAGGTATTCTCTACTTCAAACCTAATTGCAGATATACTGTAGTAAATGGCCCTTTCAAAGTATCAGTACCTCAGCTTAACAATGTTGAAATCAACATTGTGGAAGAAATCCCTTCTGACATTTCCCAACAAAAACTTTTGAAAGATGATTTAACTTCCCTACAAATTCACTTCCAAAGCCATGGATATATTTATATGATTACCTCCTCTATTTTATNAACATTGTGGAAGAAATCCCTTCTGACATTTCCCAACAAAAACTTTTGAAAGATGATTTAACTTCCCTACAAATTCACTTCCAAAGCCATGGATATATTTATATGATTACCTCCTCTATTTTATCATGTTTTTTGTCTGTGTATCTTATTTCTGCTATGCAAAAATTCATTTTGTTCTCCAGAACAGAAGACAGAGAGAAAGTACCCCAGAACCAAGGGTAACTACTATTTTTCCCAACCAAAGGAACGCCCTCTATCCAAAACTAGAAATGGTCATGAACCCGACCACTGGTGTCCTTTCTATAGTTTGAACTTTCTAGATTGTTCCTATGTGTTTATTCTACTTCTGTATTTTGTCTGGTTTTGACCTAGACATCCAATTTTAGAAACCTCAGTAAAAAAATTCCAAACTATCTCCCTGCAATTTTGTTTCCCTGTGTATTTCTGAAGGTTACTTAAGAAAGATGCAATTTCCTTTTTCTTTATCCCCTTTTTTACACCCTGTGTGAAGATTGAGTTCTTACTTTGTTGATTGTATTTTCTTTTTTTTTCAAGTAAAAACTACAACCAGAATTTTGTTTTTACATAGCCTTCATTTTCTGACCATACAAAAAAGTATCAATGACAAGGCGCGAATCAAAAGAACTTTTTTGGTAACAATGAGAAAAATCAAGGGTGCCATACAAAAGCACAACCGATTCACCACATTTTCTTGATTATTGTTTCAACTGCTTTTTCTATGTACAAAACAAAAAATTCTTTAACAAACCGAGACTGTACTGCATCAAAAAAGTAACCGCCAAAAAACACAATCAACATTTTCATGCCCAGAATGCTGAGCACCAAGGATCTTCTACTTCCATGTTTCCCAAGTTAAGCTCCAGAAGATCCCCAGTTGAGGTATCCCTTTCTTCACCTCCTTCTTCAGAAGCTGTGGCTGTTGTAGGACGCACAGCTGTTAGGAGGCCCATCCATCTTGCAGCTCATTGAATGGAATACCACTGAAAAATACAAAACCAAATTTGCATTAGTTTTTGATTTCTACAAATTTCTTTCTCTCCAGAAAAAATATTTACCCTCTCCAAAAGATGTACTGGTCATGCTCTCAAAATTTTGAACAAAAGCATCTTGTTATCCCAAAAAAAAATACTTCAGATATTTATAAAACATTTAATATATATTTTTTTATATTCACATCAACATAAAATACAAAGTCAGGGATTTAAGGAAGTCTTGTTAAAGTTGCTACAAGGCTTCCTGAGAAATAACTGCGTCGAGGTTTGGATAATTTCTGAGGCTTGCTCAGGAAAATCAGAGGTTTATATATAAACTTGACAGGAATTGAGGATGAGCGAGATTCCTTCAAGTAAAAGAAATTCATGAGGTTTTTCTTTAAGACCTCATGCATATTTTATAATACAACACAGGTAAAACGCGCGCATCAAGTAAAATACATTCAATCAAAAATATACATATTTCCAAGAGGATTTTCCTCTTGGATCCCCACAGCGTCGAAGAAAATCCGTCACAGTGGCAACCGTCACTGTCAGCAATAAAAAGAGGGGAAAATGGGCGCTTTGCCTTCTACAGGGAAAAGCGTCACGGATTAATGCGGACGTCGTTTTGCATAGGGGAAAAACATCCATCTCGCAGCTCGTTGAATGGAATGCCACTGGAAAATACAAAACCAAAAATTGCATTAGTCTTCAATTCCTAATTTTCCTTTTTTTTGTTTGAAGAATATTTACCCTCTCCAAAAGATGTACTGGTCATGCTCTCAAAATTTTGAACGAAAGCATCTACATCTTCTTCAATCTCATCAAAATTTATGGGAGGCAATTCTGCCTCTGCTACCCCTTGATCCCCCTCTTGTTTCTAAAAAAAAGAAGAAATAGAAAATTTTTCTTTTAAGGCTAATTTTCTTGAGAATATTTCTTTTATTCTTCTCTAGAAAATCTTATTGAACTAAAAAGAGGCCCTTGAAATATTTACTCACCTTTAAGTAGAACTGTCGAGCCATCCAGGCCAAAAACACCAGGATCAAGATGACCCCAGATCCTCCGCAAGCCACAATCAGAAATTTCATGGCTGTCTCGCCACTGATGCTTGCCTCCAGTTGTCCATCCTTGACCCGAATGGTCACTTCAGGGACCACGGTAGGCATAGCTGCAAGGATCTCCTTATCCTTGGCAGCTGCGGAATGACGAATCACAGCCTCTGTCGTGATTGTTGTCACTTGAGACACCCTCGACACTGATGTCATCGTTGAACTTGTGGCTATGAAAGAAAAAGAAACGAGAAAGAAAATTTTCATCATTCACTTTTCTTTAAACTAATTTTTTTTTTGGCTGGCCTGTGAAAGAAGAAAAACAACAACAAAAATCGCTGAAAGAACTTACTTGGTGGAGTTGAGCTCCTGACGCTGTCCAGACAAAATTCCCAAGGAGTGACAACATTGTCTAACCCCTCTCGACGCCCAAAGCACGTCACCGGTTGCAGCAGCTGCACCACCTGAGGAGGTCACGGACACAAGTGAAAACAACGAACAACTTTTTCACCTGTGAGCAGCAACCTCACCTTCAACCGCCGCAGACGAACACAATCCAAGAACAAGTC